CAACTATGTATACTCATTTAACTTCTCCCATTTCTTTTTTGCTTCCTAAAATGTTTATTATATCAAACAGCAAAACAGTTTCTTTTCAAATTTTAAAGTTACCTAATGCACCTAAAAAATATTTCTCTCTTAGTCATACCAATAAACTCTATCCAACCCTCTCAATCCCTCAATGTATATACGTGTGTGTGGGTGCTCTAGCTGTAGGCCAAAAGAGAGCATTAGATCCCAGTATAGATGATTGTGAGCCACCATGTGGTTGCTGGAAATTGAACTCAACCTCTGGAAGAGCAAATTTTTCTTTTCTTCTTCTCCCCCCCCCCCTTTTTTGGTTTTGTTTTCGACACAAGGTTTCTCTGTATAGCTTTGGTTGTCCTGAAACTCACTTTGTAGATCAGGTTGGCCTTGAACTCAGAGATCCGCCTACCTCTACCTCTCAAGTGCTGGGATCAAAGACTTGGGCTACCACTGCCTGGCCATAAATGCCTTTCAAACACAGATTCTCTTGGCTATACTGCACATCACACAAATTTCTATATCCTTGTCCAGGATTTAACTATCACTTGCAACTTTATTTTTCTAAAACAATAAATTAACTTACAAATAAACTTTGAGAATGTAAGCCATTTATGATTTTGTAAAATATACTCAGAATTTTAAATTTTTCATTAATAATATTATGGACAATATACTATATATTGCAATTTATTAATAACTAATCCTGCCTTCATATCATTACCATTCTCTTAAACTTTATTTTTTTAAACGTTTAAATTCATAACTGAATTTTAATGTTGGCCACATTATTTCAACTCTCTAACGTACACATAAACTAGCCACTTCTTTAAAGTTTAAGTTCTTCCTATATTACAAAAATCAAAACACACAGAAGTAACACTTTTGTTTATTAAGTTTGGCTTATTGCCAGGCATAGTGGTGTACCCCTTTAATCCAGCACTCAGGAGGCAGAAGGAGGTAACCTTTTTGAGTTTGAAGCCATTCTGGCCCACATAGTGAGTTGCAGGACAGCCAGGATTATGTAAAGAGACCCTGTTTCAAATAATACACTCACTGTCGAAAAAAATTTTTACAAAATGAATTTCTTTTAAAGTATTTAAAGCCGTGTAAACACCTTTAATATCAGCACTCAGAGGACAAAAGCAGGCAGATCTCTGTGAGTTCCAGGCCATGCTGGTTTATATAGTAAGTTCCAGGACAGCTAGGGCTATGTAAAGAAGACACTGTCAAAAAAAAGAAAGAAAGAAAGAGAGAGAGAGAAAGACTGAGAGAAAGAAACAAAGAGAGAGAGAGAGAGAGAAAGAAAGAAAGAAAGAGAGTGTATTACTAGTATACTCACAGTAGAATATAAAAGTTTTAAAAAGTGAATTTTTTAAAAGTATTTAAGCTGGGCATAGTGGAATATGACTTTAATTCCAGGACTTGGGAAGCAGAGGCAGACAGATCTCTGTGAATTCCAGGACAGCCAGAGCTACACTGTGAAACCCTATCTCAAAGGACAACAAAACAAAATAATTAAATTACTACCTGATGTGGTGGTGCACACCTTCAATCCCGATACCAGGGACTCAGAGGCAGGTGGATATTCTCCCATCCAAAAAAAGAAACCATATTTGACAGCAGTACTTTAAATGACTGGAAAATTGGTTGACAGGTGGTTAAATGACTGATTCATGAAGTACACCAAGAGGAGAAAAGAGGTGTAATGCGTACTTTCAGACACTAGACCCCCATGTGACTACTGCTGACACGGAGTTCTACAGAAGGACAGGGCATTCGGCATTTTTCAGCCCTGAAGATCAGTACTTAATATTTCACTCATTGTCCTTTACACTGAAACAAATTTCTAGGAAAAGAAGGCACATTTTATCACTCATCTTCCTCTTCTGGACCAGCAATTGCCATTATAAAACATATCATGTTCTCTCTGATGTTAGTAGAAGCTTAGGAAATGGACATTATTTTCTGAAGCTTTCTTTTTCCTCTGGTTTGGATCCATTAAGTTCTTTTTCTTTTTTTTAATATGGAATGCTTCATGAATTTGCATATCATCCTTGCGTAGGGGCCATGCTAATCTTCTCTGTACCGTTCCAATTTTAGTATATGTGCTGCCGAAGCATGCACTCCATTAAGTTTTTTATCGCAAATTTTTAAAATTTATGTGTACGAGTATTTTGCCTACGTGTGTGCCTGTGTGCCTGGTGCCCAGAAGCCAGAAGAGGGCACCAGATACCCAGAAACTGGAGTAACATACTGTTATTAAGCCCCGTGCGGTGCTGAGCATAGAATCGGGGTTCTTGCCAATGTTCTTTCAGTTGAGCCATCTCTCCAGCCCCAAGCTCTTATGACAACGATAGTTCTTATTTTACCTTGTATGAAAAGATGTCGTTTTTAAAATTTTTTAGGCTTTTGTTTTTTACTGCCATGTTGAAAATGCACTTAGGTTCTTTGGGAACCAAAATACAGTATAAATAATACAAGGTACAGTTCTTCATAACAAAGAAAGTCTCTTACCTGTTTGACATCTCTAATGAGATGGAACAGCATTGGATTAGTTGGCCCTTGTTTCTTTAGGGGAAAACAGGAGAAAACTATTAGCTTTGGTCTAAAGTAAACAATATCCACTTTTGTTACTTACAGGACTTATGAAGACCCTCTTGAAAAAACTCTGAAGACTTCCTTGCTAATGGGATCAACTTTGTTTTTACTGTTTTATATTTGCTTTATATTTTAAAGAGAGACTTCAAATCAACAGTGAACAATCTTGTAATAGTTTTTAACATCAATAAACAAGAAACAGTACACACAGAAAGTTCAGTGTAATTACACTAGATAGTATTAATGGATAAAACCAAAATAAGAATGTATCCTATTTAAAAGAAATTTATAACCCATGGGGGAAGATATAATTATTCTTAACTAGTCTAGTAGGTTTCTTGGAAACAGTGGAAAATGTAAGTTGCTTTAAACACAATAAAATTTCAATAAATGAAGTCCAGATAGAAAAAAAAGCAGGCCAGCATAATCAAATAATCAATGCTTTTCTAAAAAGCTTGTGTATTTAGAAAATGGTAGGAAATATACTCAGAACACACAGGATGAGGCTGGAGATGACAAAAAGATGAAATGAAGAAAACAGGTAGGGCAAAAATGTGCCTACCACCCACTCAGCATAGTGACACAGGCCTTTTATCCCAGCATTCCAGGGGCACAAGCAGCCCAGCTTTTTTGAGTTCCGGTGAGCCTGGTCTACATTGAGAATTCCAAGCAAGCCATGTCTTCATAGTGAGACCCTGTCTCAGAATTTTATAACCAAAGTATCTATTTCTGAAAACAATCAAGGTATATGGTATAGACACCATAGCGTAACCAAAGGTTTCTAAATAACAGAAAGGCATAGTAAAGTATGTTATTATAAAAACTAAAAAAAAAAAAAAAAAAAAAAAGATTGATCAAGGAAAGAGATTAAGATGAGAGATACATATAAAAAAATTAAAATGCTGAAGTGGTAGGAAATCAATTAGAAATGACCAAGTGGTAGTACAAAGACACCAGGAATAAGAAGTAGAAATTGATGAATTAGTATAGTTTTTTAGAAGTTACAAACTTTGGCTTTGTTCAGTATTCTTCACAGGAAAGCTCAATCAAATTTGCACTGGCTCCATAGAAAAACCGTGAAGAAATATTTACCCTCCCCAGTAGTACTGGCATGAAATATGAAATAAAAGGAGAAAGAATATTAAGTTTTTACAAGAAAAATGGAAAACAGTACACTAAAAGAAATACCAGAAGATCAACAACTCTGAATTTAAGAAACAAGAAAGAGGAAAAATATTGTGTATATTTTCCAATAAACAAAAGTTAACAACTAAAACATTCTCTAAGTAAGAAGTTGATCCTATACTTTTAGAGGATATAAAGGGAAAGCAAAGATGGGTTGTTAAGCCAACATCACTTTTCCTGCATTGCTATGTTACAGAAAAGGGCTTCTAAACAGGATAGTGGTTTCAGACTGTCATGAAATATTTCACACACACCCACACCCCCAAGAACATCTAAGACACCAGAAAATGTGGCAGTGTGTATTTTCAGGTAAAATGATATTTTCAAAGGCAATGCAACACTAAACAAAGATTTTATCAGACTTACAGTGTTATAAAGTTCTTCCAGTCTGGGAATGGTAAGGAATTTATGCATGCTTACTCCATTTTCAATAAGAAGTTTTACAAATGAAACTCTATCCATTACAAGAGCATCAAGCATAGCTTGTTCCAAAGATCCAACCTAGAGTATCAAATGAACAGATATGTTTCATATGTTCCATATGTTAAGTACATATCCTCATGATTTATACCTACACATTCTCAAATAATTTGGCAACAAAATTAAAAAGATGAAAAACAGTGACCTAAAGTATTTAGAGAATGGACAAAAAGACCTACCTTCCATAGCATTCCTTAATATTACACAAATGTTCTACCTGTAAGACAGCAAATGATCTATAGGGTGGGAGAAAGCTACAAAAAGTCCATCACCAACTGAAGTGAGAAACAGCCAGGACAGGGTTCAGTAGGTAAAGGCACCTGCTTGCTGCCTCTGTCTCTAGTGCTAGAATTACATGTATGTCATCACACCCAGTTTGTGCAGTGCTGGGAAAAGAATCCAGGGCTTTCTATAAATGAGACAAACTAAACTACATTCCAGCTCTACTTTTAATACTTCTGAATTAGATGTTTAAAAAAATTTTAAGAAAAAAATAATTTATAAATCACTATTTTACACTGCTATTTTAAATATTATTCTAATTCAGTCTTGAGGTTTTCCACACCAACTACACAATTTCCCTCTGTCCAGTTCATTCTCAATTTTCCTTACCAAAATGAGGGTATGGACTCTAGTGTGCATTTATTTACCTGATAACCACACATATTTACTATACATGATGAAATTTCAAGAGAGAAGCATGCTTTTAAAAAAAATATTTCTCACTATTCAGTTTTTTGACAAAATGGCTTGATGTTATCCTCAAAAACAAGGAAAAACTTACAAGAATGTGAACTCTTCACCAAATTAAGAGCCTATAATTTATCATGGATGTTATTCCTACTTTACATAAGATTATTTTCTTTCTCTCAACATCCAAACAATTATTGTTATTACTTATTATAACATTTACATTCTAACTTACTTCTCTATTTTCACTTTGATCCTCTACTCTTCTCTATACATTATACATCACCCTAGGGATTTAGATATAGCAAAAACTAGCCAGACACTTTACAGGCAGTGAACACAGTAGGGGGAAAAACAACTAAAAATCACTCTTGCACTCTCAAAACTTACTTTCTAGGATAGAAAGATTAATCATGGGTAAACAGTAAATGGGAGGGATTACACAGGAACTGGACTAACACCAAGGCATGGTACAGGGAGTTCAGTACACAAAGCAACAATTCTAAGAGTTCTTTAACCTTAGAATTTTTACAGATAACTTTTTTAAAAAAAATGTTGTTAAACAAATATGAGTTATCCATTTTTACACTTGGGGCAGAAGATAAAAATGTGAGTGTAATACAGTCACTTCTCTATGGTGGAGACTAGTTCCAGGACCCTTTTCAGAGACCCAAATTCACAGACGCTCAACTTTTAACAAAATTATGAACGCTGTCTGTGATAACACAAATTTCCTATCACTAGATTATTCAGTTTAATAGAAGCAGATATTAACACTGTATTGGTCATGGAATAAGAAAGGAAACATCTGTATATGTTTCGCAGGCTTACCTATAACATATACATAGTACTCATTCTGTGGTTGACTGAATCCACAGATATAAAACCGGTAGCTACTAAGTGTCCACTGTAGTTAATTTCATAATATTGGGTATTTAGATTATCTACATACCAGCCATTGCTGTCCATAAACAAATACATGATTTTTGGCAATATCAACTCTGTCCCATGCCAGTGTAAGGATAAGCTGGTCAAATGCAGATGCATTAGTACCTAATTGGATGAAGAAAATAGTTGGTGAGTGTATCTCCATCGATTTATAAGCACTTACAAACTCTCCCTAGAACCTTTTAATTTACACAGCTTGTGTTTGCCACTATGGAACATTTGTATTTACATTGCCTAACGGGGCAGTAGTGTCACATGCCTTTGACCCCAGCACCCAGGAGGAAGAGGCAGGCAAGGTCACCCTGGTCTACAGAGTTCCAGGACAGCCAGGACAACACAAGAGAAACCCTATCTCCACCCCCCATAAAAAAAGTACATAGCCTCATTAGCTGAAAAAAAAAAAAGTCAGAATGTGGAAATTGAGAAAACAAAGATTACCTGTTTCCATCAATGACACAATACTTCACAAATTCAGAAAAAAATTTTTTCAGGTACTTTTCTATGTATATCTAAGTATAGCCATATACTTTTACACTATTAAGAAGGGGATATATATTCTCTGCATTATTGAATAAAATCGAAGCTGGAGAGATGACTCAGTGGGTAAAGGCACCTACTGCCAAGCCTGACAAATCAAGTTCCATCTTCTGGCCTGGTCCCACATGTAATATCTAAAAGGAGAAACCCAACTCAAATTGTTCTCCAACCTCTACACATAAAACACCGCATGCTTGAATACACATGGGTATACACACCACACATAAATAAATACATGTAACTTCTTTCTTAAAAAATTGAATAACTTTAGCTGGTACATATAAATATTTTAAACATGAGATAGTTAAAATATACCTGTACACAGATGTTCAGGTTACTCTGCAAATTTTCCAAGTATATTTTAGTGCACGTTTGACCATTTAAATAGAATGATTCTCTAAAAGCTAATTTTCTAGATATAAGAATATCACTTTAGGGCTGGAGAGATGGCTCAGAGGTTAAGAACGCTTGCTCCCCTTCCAAAGGTCCTGAGTTCAATTCCCAGCAATGGTGGCTCATAACCATCTATAGTAAGATATGGTGTATAAATAATAAATAAATCTTAAAAAAAAAAAAAAAAGAATATCACTTTAAAGGGCTGAAGAACACTGGCTATTCTTCCAGGACCCAGGTTCAATTCCCAGCACTTACATGGCATTTCACAACTGTCTGTAACTCCAGTTCTA